ATCCCTAATACTTAGAAAATCTCTCTTGGCTCAGAATTGTGTATGGTACAGACTTTCATCTATTCCACGTTAAGCACACACACACACACACACACACACACACTCCTTTAGTACCCTATTTGCTATTTGCTAGAACAACCTGTGAATCGCATGGCAAAAATGGTGGGTGATATAGCTGGAAGTCTCCTTCAGTGGAGTGAATTGAAAGTACTTCCCTTTACGTTTCTGAACCACTCAATTCTTCAGAGATGTGTCAGACTGAGAAACAGCAAGGAAAACACTTCCTGTGCCTCTTATCTACTGTCAACACTACACCACTTCTGACACAGAGGCAACATGTATTGAGTGCTCCAGGGTGCCAGGTACTGGTTGAGGTGTTATTTCTTTCAATCTTCACCAGAATCTGCAAGGTAGGTGCTATTATTCCCCATTTCACAGTTTAGAAGACAGGACCAGAGACAGTGTGCTTGGGGGCATCCAGATAGTAAAATTGGGAGAAGCTCAAATCTGAGGAAGCAGAGCTTGAGAAGGGTTCTTATCCCTCTGGAGTCAGTTGCTTTACAAAGCAGTTACATCGTTTAGCATAATAAATTAGCACAATTCTCTAAGTCCTAAAACACACTCTTACCTTGTTTCAGATAATTGCCCCACCTAAGAGGAGTTGTTTGGATGACTGAGGGAAATCATAAGGAAATGAGAAGTGGTCACCTGAAGGGGAATAAGGAAGATTAATTTGGAAAAGGTACAGAAAGGCATCATGTGCAGATCACGTGCAACTGTGCAAGGTGCAGCCGATGCCCTCATCAACTTGTGGCTTGGCATGTCTGAGGATGGTGTGGGCCCCTTCTTGAAGGAGCTATAGAAGGAAAGATGGGATGTTGCTGCAGATGTCAGTGAGGAACCAGTGGAGTGGGGTGATTTGCTGCTGCTGTCCCAGTGGGACAGGAGGCAGATGTTGGTTAGAATAAGGAAGGACTGGGAATAGGCAAAATGTGTTTCCAGAAAGATGGCCAAGACCCCTGGGCAAACTTTTTGTGAGGGGTTCTATTCTGAGGGGGTCAAGGTTGAACCAGTGTCTCCAAGATTCCTCCTCTGAACCCCAGGGTGCCTGACTTTTTCCAAGTAAGAGATTCACTTCTACCTCCTTTTGTGGAAACCCACCCATGTGCTGGGCTTCAAAGATGAATCTTGCTTTTAAGGAGCTTGTGGGAGGCAGGAAGTCAAATGATTATCAGCAAGGAGATGCTGGGGTTGGACTACTTGCCTTCAAATCTGAGCACATTACTTGCTACTGTGTTACCATAGCAGATAACCGAATGCTCCCTTGCACCAGTCTGCTCATCTGTGAAGTATTTACCTCACAAAATGAAGATTCTAATGAGAGTGAAAGTAAAAGCATTTAGTAAACTGCCTGCCTTATGCTAAATACTTGATACATTATTGTTTTTGTTATAAAAATGAGGAGCATCCCTGGTGGTGCAAGAGGTGAAGACATAGCATTGTGAAGCTACCCGCAGCCACTGAAGCAGGTGATCCACATGGTGCAGCAGACCTCTCCTGTCTCGCCCGCTGCTCCCCTCGGCAGTATATTTCAGTACATCTGCCTGTTCTGTTCCTCACTCTGTCTCTGGTGAATTCTCTCATTTGCTGCACCTCTGGCCTGTACCCCGTTTGTGTATGACTAAATAAATAAATAAATATTTTTAAAAATGAGTGAGGTAGAGGGGAGAGTTCACAAACAGAAGTAAGGTAAGGGATTGTGGGAGCAGAGCAGGACTGCGTACCTGCCAGGAAGAACAGCTAGTCATCAAAGGAGTTAGTTAAACGTGGGGATTTGGTCTGGCTGAGAAGAGACATGAAAAGGGCATTGTGAAAGTATTCCTCAGATGATATTTACATACTATCCACCAGAAAACCATTAACTACTCTTTAAAAGTCATTTTTCATTATTAAAAGTTACATTTCAATAGCCTTGGACATAGGAAAAGAATCACCTGTAATCCCAGAATGCTAACACATTCACCATTTGTAAATGGTGCCCCTCATCTTTTTCCTCAAGCATCTGTTTTAATTGTTTTAATCATAGTTCATGTGATAGCACATATTTTGCATTTTTTCCTTACTATGCTATTACAGGCATTTTTACTACATTGTTTTTCTAATTTTTTATGTTGACCTTAATTATGTTTAGATGTAGACGTGGTTTATGTTCTTTTTCTGAAAACTTAATACCAATCTTAAGTTGGTATTAAAAATGTTACAAATCGGCCCTCCCTGGTGGCGCAGTGGGTTAAAGCACTGCACTAAGAAGCTTAAGCCACTTCCCCATGAATTGGATCCTGGCCTGCCCGGGAGGTGACCACATGGCAGGGCAGACCTCTCCTGGCAGGCCCGCTGCTCCCCTCAGCAGTGTATTTTGTCGATCCGCCTGTTCTGCTCCCCACTCTGTCTCTGGTGAATTCTCCCACCCTCCGCATCTCTGGCCTGTATCCCACTTCTGTATGAATAAGTAAATAAATCTTTAAAAAAAATAAATCTTTAAATAAGTAAATAAATCTTTAAATCTTATGAGATCCTATACTCACAAGTAATCACTTAGAGGATTTGTGTGTTCTTGCATGTTTTCCCCCCTATGCAAATAGCACATACAGAGTTTTTATGTTTAAAAAGTTATATTGGGTGATCAATGGACTATGGTGGGAAAGTTACATTAGGTTATTTTATTACCTGCTTTTTCACTCAGTTATACTATATAGATAAGTTTCTCTGTCAATAAATACAGGCATACCAAATTTTTTCTAATGATTACAGATTTAATTTTATACGTATATCAAATTTTTTGTAGCTAGTCATCTATTGCTGGATATTTATCTTCTTTACATTTGTGTGTGGGTGGGTATGTATGTCTATCATGTGGAGTCACTACAATTAAACCTTTAGCTATTTTGGGATATTTAGGTAGTTTTTTCTTCCTTAGTTTTTGCATATGGCTTTCCCCATATTTTGATTCATTTCCTGGAGTAGAAGTATTCAGTCGGGGCCCTCCCTGGTGGCGCAGCAGGTTAAAGCATAGCATTATGAAGCTAAAGCTTCAACACGAGTTCGATCCCTGGCCCTGGAGCTGACCTACATGGCACAGCAGACCTCTCCTGACCAGCCTACTGCTCCCTTCAGCAGTGTATTTCAGTTAGTCTGCCTGTTCTGTTCCCCACTCTGTCTCTGGTGAATCCTCTCACTGCCCCTGCACCTCTAGCCTGTACTCCAACTCTGTGTGCATAAATAAATAAATCTTTAAAAAAAGAAAAGAAAGTAAAGGGGGATAGAAAGTAGAAGGGAGCATGAACCTGGGGATAAAAGAAAGTAAGGACCCCAACATAATGCAACCATTGTGCATGTAGTCCCCCCCCCTTGGAAAAGCAATGTATACTCCTTGTGACAAACCCAAACTTACCCATAAATGTTTAAATTTAGTATTGAATTTCTCTTCTGATGGCAGTCTCTACAACCAGTTTAGGTATATTCTTCCAGATTACAAATATTAATGTAAAACTTTTTTGGTTTTGGTTTGTTTTTAAAGAATTGGTTTTCTCTGTGCAATATTCCTACTGGAGGATATATCTTAGACCCCTTTGAAATAACTACTGGATGTATGCAGATCATTTTTAGCTTAAATATCTAATTAGAATAGAAAGAGAAGCAGTGTTGCCCGGCTCACTAGGTAGAAGATACTACCCTGGAGCCAGTTCTGCCAGCGGAAAGCCCTATATGCTCGCTGCCTGTTTCCTTCCAAATATGTTCATATACACATCTCCAGGGGGGCAGCCCCTGGCACCTTTTTTTTTTTATATAACAGTTTATTTTTACATCATTTTGTACATTTTTTTTTTACCATCTCAACTGTAATCCCCGCGGGTTTCCCATCACCAAGTCACCCGTGCCTGGCACCTTCTTACTGAGTCAATCCCAGGCGGCCTGAGGACCCTTAGTCAGGGGTCAGTAGTAGCCTGGGGAGAGAGAGCCGGCAGCCACCTACTGCTCTCTGGGAGCCTCAGTTTGTTCCGGAATCTGTGCCAGAAAGGTCAACAGAAACTATTATTAGAAAAGACTCCGGTTCCGCCAGAACTAAACCCATCGCCTCGGGGCAGGGCTTGCTGGACTTCCCTTACTTGAAGGCTTTATCCCGGTCCAGCCACCACTACCAAAGAGAAGTGGCGGTCCCAAGCGCTCTGACCTACTCTTCCGCGAGCAAAAATGGATTTTGCTCAGGGTGGGAGTGGGGGAGGGGGGGTCCCACACCTCTCCCGGGGCGTTGCCCTCACGTGAGGCCCTCAAATTCCAGGTGTCCGATCTGACTCAGTCTTGCAGACTTTGCAGAACCCTTTAGCAGATCCGTGACTCAGTTTCTCCATTTGGTCACACGGGCCAAAGATGTGAGGCACCTGTGCGGAATGAGGCGGGTTCTTACGACTATTTCAGAGTGCGTGCTCCGAGGCGGAGCACCCGAGGGCGGCTTTTTCGCTGCCAAGAGCGCTCCTTCTGGACACGCCTTGCTCTGGTTCTGGCAGTGACTCCGCCAGGTGCTTCAGCAGGGTGCTGGGGAGACAGTCGCCTGGCACCGCCCGCCTTGGTTTCTGAAAGGGTCCTGGAGGAGCTGGCGGGGAGATGACCAGTGCCGTGCAGTGCCCACCGTCCGGCGCCTGACGCAATCCAAGAAGCCCTTGCTGCATGCGGCCGCTGGGGAAATCTCCCCGGCCGTTGCATCACTCCTGTCAGGTTTGCTACAGAGGTGAAGCCGAACCAATCAGCGGGCGCGCTGGGCCGGGGGCAGGCCGCTCAGTTACCCACTCAGAATGCTGCGCGATTAACCAGGCAGGAAAACCCAAAGGTGATTGGCTAAAACAGGCTTCGCCCCACCTCAATCACCGCGGCAGCTGGCTCCGGTGGGCGGGGCCTTCCGGCCGGAGGGTTTAAAGGGCGCCTCGGCAGGGGTCGCTCAGCTAGAGCGACCGAGCGGTGCCTGGCCAGGTGTGCGCGTCCGTCGGTCCTTCCGTGCCCGCGCCGGAGACCAGCCCCGGAGGCCGCCCGGGCCCGTCCCTGTGCCCGGCACCATGAAGCAGGAGACCCTGAACACGCCCCCGGACTCACCGTCCGCTGCACAACCTGCATCACAGACCTCATCAGAGACTGCGCAGCCCCACCACCATCACGACGACCCCCAAGCGCTGTGGATTTTCGGGTATGGCTCCCTGGTGTGGAGGCCCGACTTCAGCTACAGTGACAGCCGTGTGGGCTTTGTACGCGGCTATAGCCGCCGCTTCTGGCAGGGAGACACCTTCCATCGGGGCAGCGACAAGATGGTGAGCATCATCAGACCGTGCCCTGGGAAAGAGGGGCTGGGGGGCTAGATAGGGGGGTGCCGTGCCCAGGAGTATTGCGGCGCTCTGGGCCGATGGTGACTCGTGCTGATGTGTGAAAAGTATAAACCGGTGCCGGGGGCTTGTGACTTGTGTGTGTGCCCAGTGGATCGCTGTGATGGCTGGAGTCTGATCTAGCGGATGGCTGTGTTGATGAATGGCTGTTGCAGTCGGGGGCCACTGGCACGTGCCTCTTTCTACTCATGGGTACATCACTCTGGTCGCTAGCTCCTTTGGCCAGCAGGCTTGATAAGGGTTTCCACCCAGATTGATGGCAGAGCTGATTTTTAACTTGTCTCTTTCAAAATCTTTCCTCCCTAGCCTGGCCGTGTGGTGACACTTCTTGAAGATCATGAGGTAAGTGTGGAGAGGTCTGGGACCCCACAGTGGAGGGGAATAGACAGACTGAACTTGTAGGCCCAAGAATCATCTGAGGAATCTTATTAAAATCTCAATTTTGATGTACTAGACACCTGGAACTCATTTGTAACATGCTTACAAATAAGCCCATTGGCAGACAGCTCTGAGTAGGAATCCACCTGTTTACCCTAATGATAAAGGATTAAAGGTTTAATGCATTGCTTCTGGATTGGCTCATTAGCTCCCCTATCTGAACTATCCTAGGGAGGGACCAATGAGAACTTGCTATGACTGACCTTGACCAATGTTTGCTCCTTAGGGCTGCACTTGGGGTGTGGCATACCAGGTGCAAGGGGAACAGGTGAGCGAGGCCCTGAAGTACCTGAATGTGCGGGAAGCAGTGCTCGGCGGCTATGATATCAAGGAGGTGACTTTCTACCCTCAAGATACCCCTGACCAACCACTGAAGGCATTGGCCTATGTGGCCACTCCACAGAACCCTGGCTACCTGGGCCCTGCACCTGAGGAGGCCATTGCTACACAGATTCTGGCCTGCCGAGGCTTCTCAGGCCACAACCTTGAGTACTTGCTGCGCCTGGCTGACTTCATGCAGCTCCTTGGGCCCCAGGCCCAGGATGAGCACCTGGCAGCCATCGTGGATGCTGTGGGCACCATGTTGCCCTGCTTTTGCCCCACCGAGCAGGCTCTGGCACTTGTCTGAGGGTCTGAGCCCCTGCAGGGAGTGTCTGCCTGGACAATGGGGCCAGGTTCCTACTCTAGTGCACACAGACTTGATATGGTTAGAGCCCATTGAGAGGACTCTGGGTGGCCAGGAAGTTCTTTCCGTTAGTGCCTGCCATTCTGCCAGCCTCCAGCTCTTTGCCTGAAACTGACTTACTACTTGAAACTTTATTTATTGCACCATGTTGGTGTGGTGGGCAGGGTGGGGGACCTGCCCAGATGCAGGGGCCTGCTGAGCGGTGCCCCACCCTAGGTTCCTGGTGCTGGACCAGATTGCCCCCGAGTGCTGCTACTAACCCCACACCACCCAGACTTCCACTTTCCCAGGGAGCCTCCAAGAACCTTGACTCTCTTGTCCCCCTCCCACTGTTCCCTAGTCCCGTGATACCACCTGCCAGAGGTCTCAGCTCGCCGGTGAAGGATAGCAGGGAGTAAGAGCAGGGGATCCTCTAAGAACTGAAGCCCCACCAGCCCTGCTCATCTGTTAGGTCCCTAGAGAAGAGCTGGGTCTACAGCCCAGCCTGGACCTCTACCCATTTGGCTTTGTCTCCCTATCCCTGTCTGTTTCGGTCACTCCTATTTGTTGTTCCATTCCTGGGAAGTTCATCACTGTAGGCGCAGGCACCTTTCCAGTGTCTCCCATACACTATCCATAAATTGATCTTTTCTTATCTGTGCTGTTTTGGAATGTGGTTTTTTCTTCAGATAGTGTTGGGTAAGTGAGGTGGTGAAGCTCTATACCCGGGTGTCCTCCTTCCTTAGGAAGGGGCAACTAAACGAACAGGACCCACAGACCCTGCCACCCATGGGCACCATTCATCTGCACATACAAATAATGGCCCTGAGTCATGCAGAATGAGCCCCCAGTGGCTCTACCTGGGAGCCTGTCTTCTCCACTGCTCCAAGGAGGCTGGCAGCTTGGAACTTGGACCAGGTCTTCCTGGTCTTCCTTTAGCTGGCTGGACTGGCTTCCTGCTGAAGGAGTGTGTGGGCTAGCGTATGGTAGTAGCAATTTATGGGGCAGTACACAGCAGAGACCTGGTGAACCTGGTGGACTTTTGACTTCAAGTCAGGGTGCTCATGGTTGCCTTCTGATGCTGTGATGTGGGCTGTGCCTTCTCTGTTACTGAATTGCCAGGACTCACATGCTAGAATGAGTTTCTGGGGGCTGGGGGGGGGCTACCCTCTGGGTTGCTGCTCCTTTTCCCTGGGGCCATCTGGTTGCTCCTCTGCTCCCTGCCCTGGACCTTGGCCCTGGGGGGTATCCTAGCCATTGGGATCTCAACCTGGTTCTGGGCTCCTCAACTGGGAGTAGCACCTCTGTGGGTTCAACTTGTACTCCTGAGTTGCAGGATAGGTGTAGGTCCCGGATGACAGGCTTTGGCATCAGGCTCAAAACCTGCCCCTCCCATCACTAGCCAAGTGCCTCCAGAGTATTCAGCCCTCTGAGCATCAGTGGACTAAGAGGGGACAATACCCAAAGGATGTAGCTCTTGTGGCTGGTACACTGTGTTGGTCTGGGTGTCCCCAGCAGGGTCATCCCCTACCAAGTTGTGCCTGGGGAGGGTGCTTATGGCTAGCTGGTGTGCCCATGTGTTGGCAATTGACAGAAATATGGAGTTCAGCCAGGTTCTTCTGGGAACTTGGTTAGGACAACTACAGGAGGGGCAGTAGGTGGGTGGCAGGGAGCCCTGGGAGGTAGCCTCATGTGCCAGAACAGGTGGCCAGACTGGGCGCTTAAGCAGAGCCCTGCTGAATATGGGAGCTGAGCTGGGGTAGGCAGGGCTAGTTGCCAGCTGCACATGGGGTCCCATTTCTATAAGCCATTCAACTTTGTAATAAGCCACTTAACCTGCCAACCACCATACTAAGCACTTGAGACACAGCAGTGAAGAAGTCCTCAAGGAATTTGGGACCTAGAGCCATTTAGCTGGAAATGTGCAGTGAAGGGAGATTAGGCCAGTCAGCAACAGGAAGGGCTCCTGCCCCACATGGTGGTCAGGGAAAGTTTTCAGGGAGGAGAAAGCACGAGGCTGAGCCCCAGAGGCTGAGTGGTGGGAACAGAGGCAGGGAATAGCTTGTCCCTGAGCAGGAAGCAAGGTCAGGTCATCTGGTGCAGAGTGCCTTGGGGAAGGGGACATGAGGCTGGCCAGGGGACTGGATGGCATCCTGCTGGCAGTCTGGGTGAGCTGTGTTGTGCTGAAGAGGTGGCATTCCTCCTATGTTGGTGTGGGGCATCACTTGTATCCTGAACAAAGAAAAGATGTGCTTAAAAGATCACTGGTTGCTGCTATGTCTGATGGGAAAGGCCTAGATGGGCAAAGGAGAAGTGAAGATAACTTGGGCAGAGGTGGGGCAGTGGGAATGGTGAATTGAGAGCAGTTGAAGTGAGGTCAGTGGGATTAGGTGTGGCTGGTTGAGGAGAGTGAGGGAGAAAACAGGGCCTGGGCTTACTGGTGTAACTTGGAAAGTGTGAGTGTGGGGATCTGCTTTATGTTACTGCTTGAGTTGGGGGTGTCTGGATGTGAGGCTGCAACATCTATGTGGATGTTCAGGGGACGGTTGGATGTTTTTTTAGATCTCAGAAGAGTGGCTGGGGTTAGGGATTTGGGGTTCTCACATAAACCTGAGACCCTGTGAGTGCAGAGAAAAAGATCAGGACCCAGGTCAGCCCAGAGGCTGGTCTGAGCAAAGCAAGAAGAGTCAGGAACAGACAGCTAGGAGGTAAGAGGGGAGCCAGGAGAGGGGGTCTCCAAGGTTCTGCTTCAGGAATGTCAGGGAAAAGGTGGGAGGAGTTGCCTTTGGCTCAGAACAACTTGGAGCAGAGGCAGGAGGCCATAGGACTGGGCTGAGGAGCTGGGGCCAGGGGAGTAGACAGATTTCAGGAAGTTTGGCTGCAGAAAATAGGGACAGAGGGATAACAGGGAATGGGGGAGGGTACTGGGGCCTCAGGACTCCTTTACTAGTTAAAAATTATTGAGGACCCTAGGAGCTTTTGTTCATGTGGGGTACCTATTAACATATGCCCTATAAAAAATTAAAATGATAGTGGTACTTCATTACAAAATTTAAAAAATTGGACAAGTTTTACATATTTATTAAAAATAAGCCCATGACATTGTAATTTTTTTAAAGAAAAATGCACTTTCAAAAGCAAACATCTGGTGAAGAGAGGCATTGTTTTATGCCTTTAATGTCCGCTGTAATAAAGGTAGCTCGATTTTTGTGTGCAAATTCACAAACATGGATTCTCTGGAAATTTCCTCCTCTATATACTCATGAGGAAATGAGAGTAAAAGGACAAAATAGTTTCTTACTATTACTATGAAAATAGTTTTGACATTGCAGACTCCCTGAGAGGGATTCTCTGGGCTATTTTTTAAGGGCTTCTGCTATATGAACATCAACATGTTTTTGTTTTCTTTCTGGAAGGAGTTTGAGCAGGGTGCTAGGTGGCTGCATTAAGGAATTTCAGTTAGTAGGGACTTCAGGAGTTAGTGGTCCTGTCCAGCTCTCAAGGATTTCCCTCTGGAGAACTGGGATGGAGTAGGAAGATCATCCAGTTGGATCAGTGAGTCTACAACAGACTGCAGCTGTGGGACACAAGTCACCCTCAGATCTGGAGTGGGATAAGAGCAACTCTGGAACTATGGGTGGGGCGCAGGTGCTCAGGTCTGCATGGGGCTTATAGAAGGTACGGGGTCTCCAGGAATCTGGGGATGGTGACAGCCAAGAAGGAAGGCACACAAGCAGCTTGGCAGATGGCTATGTGCTGGAAGCTCTGGTGTTGGGGGCAAGGCTGCAAGCCAATTTGCTATTGGAGGAAATGTTGGCCTTTATCTTACAGGGAAGTTGAGTTCTGTGGTGGTGTTTTTGTTTTTCATGTTTTTCCTCCCACAAAAGGGTGTTTGTTCTTTTTGTTTTGTCTGGTCAAGCAGACAAGTACTGTGTACAGTCTTGGGTTTAAAGAGCTGGGTCGAAGCTGGGGAGGGATGACTCCAGGGCAGGGAAACCCGGTGGGTGCCATTTTGGCTCTCTGGGGTGGTGCTGGGGGGCAGTGGGGCTGAGCAGAAGGCAGGAACCAGGAACATGGGACCCTTCTGGCAGCCTATGAAGTGGGGGCAAGTGGGAGGGAAGAGACTGGGGATATCAAGTCTCTTCTTGGGTTCTGTCAAGAAAAGGCCTGGACTGTCAAAGGTATATGGGTACACCCCAACCTGCCCTCCACACACACTTCTAGGCCTGGCAGGCTCTTAAGGGGTTCTCCTGGTTTCAGAAAGGACCACATTCCTCTGAAGGCTATAGTTTCTCTGAAGACTATGGATTAGAGTGTGAGTAAACCCTTTCATTCTCTAGGCCTGGTTCTGAGAAGGTTCCCAGTACACCAGGGTGGGGGTGGCACTTCAGTGTCCCAGACTAGTTTAGGGAAAACCATGGTCATCAGAAGAGTGTCCACTGAGGGCAAGGATAGGAGCACAAGGGCCAGCCAGCCTCCTTCGACATGACCCAGTATGCCCAGGATAGGTCTGCTTTACTCTGGTTGTCCTAGAATAATTGCTACTTTTACTCTCAAAAGCCCAGGTTTAGATAGTAAACTGCTTCGTGGTTGCAGAAATGGGAACAGAGTGGGCTGCTTTATCAGTGGGGCTAGTGGCTGTCAAAGGGGTTGACCAGAGCCCACTTGGTCATTTTGCCCTCCTCACAATATCCCTAGACCCTGACTCCCAGCCCAAAGGAGGGAAGACACTCCCCTGCCCTTTTGGATTACCTGTAAACACCCCCTCCCCCCAACCTTGCCCGTCCTTGGTCAGGCTGCCCCTGCCTGGGGCATTTCCTTGGGTTGGAGGGAGAGTCCACATACCCTGAAGGCCCAGCTGGACACCTAGCTTCTCTTGTAGGTGGGACGGGAACCACCAGCACCCTCTTTATTATTATTATTATTATTATAGGGTTTTGATTTACATTTAAAAAATTAGTTTATTTTTACATCATTTTGTGCCTTTTTTCATCTTAGTTGTAATCCCTGTGGACTTCCCATCACCAGTTCACCCTTGTGCCATCACCATAGTCCTGTGCACTTTCCCCCGCCCCCATTTTTTTATTCCATTCCCTACTCCACCCCCATAAAATGGCTCTGGTATATAGTTGTTCATTATTATTTACCCCCCTGGTCCTTATTCTCCTGCTATGAGTAAAACCATCTGGTATTTTTCTTTTTCTTTCTGGCTTTTTTCACGAAGCATGATCCCTTCCAGCTCCATCCACATTGCTGCAAAAGGCATGAGTTTACCTTTTTTGGTTGCTGAGTAATATTCCACTGTGTGCATCTACCATGTCTTTTTAATCCAGCCATGTACTTTTGGGCATTTAGGTTGATTCCATATCTTTCCTATTGTAAATAAAGCAGCAGTAAACATGGGGGCCACCTGCACCCTCTTTTACATGCCAGTCTGGGAAGCTTAAAAGTGGGGCTCACCTGCCCTCAAATTTTCACACATTCTGTGGGTCTTGCACTATCTAAGGATTTCCTCTATCTGCCTTCTCTTGATGATTGTTACGGGCTCTTGTCCTCAATTTTGAGGCTTTCCTGTATCTCTTCCATGGAACTTAAAATGCAGTTCAAACCATGACCCCCGTTTTTGATAGACTCCAA